CTTGAAATACTGGAAACAGATTGATGTAACAAACCGCATTTTGGGATTCGAAAGCGATTAAAAAAAAATAATAAAACGCAATACAGGCAGAACTTTGTAATTTAATTACGAAGTTGCGTCTTGAGAACCGAGGGTCCAGACTAAATACTACGTAGGCGGTTCTGGCAGGAATGTGCCGAGGTGGCAGTTAGAGTAGATGGAGCAGGGAAGAAATGAAGAAAAAATCGGGGAGTCGGTTACGGGATTGGAACAGAAAAGCATCGGGCGAAACCGGGAAATTAAAGTTTTTGTTGTGTTTTTAAATTCGAGTCGTGCGATTTGAACTTATAGCAATTTAGTTATAAAATTCGTTGAATTGGATTCTCTTTCTTCGATGAATATTTTACTTTAACAAACGGGTAAGCGTTATTAAAATCTTAAACTTCCGATTTCTCATTGAACCTGCTAACCACCTCGGCAAATTTCGTAATGATGTTGTTGAATAGCTTATGTCATGTAATTTTTACTTTTTAAAATCTTTGTCAGTTGTTTTTTTTTACATATAATATAATACGTTCTTGTTCAAAAATAAAGCAAACTTATTCTTTAGCAGTGAAATTTCGTTTTCTTTCAATCTATTTTTATTCTTAATTTCAAATTACTGCCGTTCGCTTTCAAGTGAACGAATGCAGTGTGCCAAACCCTAACTCAGTCATTGCTAGCTATCAAGAAAACGGTAGTGCGTGGACAGTTGGGTACGCGAGCCGCTCCGTGGACCTAGCTAGGAAACCCACTACGGGAAACGAGAAGTTCTCGAGAGCTAGATTGTGACATTTATTCTAAAAATTAACAAAAATTATCAAACCGAAACACTGAAACTGATGGCAACACGAGTAGTAGCGAGGACGACTATAATAGTTATAGTGACAATAATGAAGACCCGAAGATGTAACCGAAGTACGGAAGATAGTCAAATTATTTCGTCGCTCTCCTTTAAAAAACAGTGTTCTGCAGAACTATGTAAAAGGGAAACATTGCAAGGAGTTAAAACTTAATTTAGATTGCAAAACACGATGGAACAGCTTAGCTCAAATATTAGAACGGCAAATTCAGAAGGCTATGATTGATGTATCCATGCCGATGAATCTGACTGACCATGACTTTGAAGTTCTACAGGGAGTTGTAAAGTGTCTTGAAACTATTAAACTTACTGTGTTGGTGGTATGTAGACATGATGCCAATCTTTACACGACTGATGCCAGCTTTTGGTTTATGTTTCAAGAACTTTCAAAAATTAATACTTCATTTGCCAGAGCCTTGTAATCTGAATTAAAGCAGCGAATAAATAAACGAAGAACAGTAACATCAAGTAAAAAAAATCGGATGATTTATTTTTTGATCATCAAGATACTATGGAAATATCCCATTTTTTTTAACTTGATACAAAGATTATCACCACATCGTCGTCGTCGCCAACAATGCAAGAGGAAGACGATATTCCGCTATCTTGTCTAAAAAACAATCAACAAGGTAATGACCTGTCATTAGCAGAAAAATTAAATAGGATATTTGAAAATCCAATGTCTACGTCCACCAGCACGAGAGCAATATCACCACCTCAAATTGGAACATCAACAAAAAATTCATTAATTACAATAATCAAAGACGAAATGGCCCTTTTCGAGAAAGGCGGTTGTCGAGGCAAGAATCTTCAACTATGCTACGAGTATTTGCTAACCATACCGCNGCCGTTTGCTTTCAAGTGAACGAATGCAGTGTGCCAAACCCTAACTCAGTCATTGCTAGCTATCAAGAAAACGGTAGTGCGTGGACAGTTGGGTACGCGAGCCGCTCCGTGGACCTAGCTAGGAAACCCACTACGGGAAACGAGAAGTTCTCGAGAGCTAGTTTGTGACAAAGGGTTGGGTTGGGTTGGGTTACGGTCTTTAACCGATTAAATAAAATCATTGATTCTAACCTAAGAAGTGCTTCGGGAATACTCGGGGACACTCGTTAGGCCCTATAACCGCGAGCGCGATCGCCGTACTGGCCATTGCGGCTTCGGCCGCCAGACTGATAGGAGGGGCACGCCGCTGCTCCGCTTAAAAAAGAAACATCGCGTATACTTTCGAAAAAAAAATCTTATTTTTATTTTTTTTGAGGATGAATAAAGTTAAATTAAAAATAGAATAAATTTAAATAAAAATGAGTGAAGGAGATCCCGGTAGAGGCCGGGAAAATATTACTTCAACAAATCAGTTGAGCAGAAGAAAGGAATTTGAGGCGCTCGTCTTTAAACGTAGTAGTCTCATAGGCCGTTCACCACCGCAGACGGCCACAAAAGGAAAGGAGCCAATGGAAGTTCAGGTTTCCACAGATGAAGAAGAAGAAGCTGACCTGAACAGAACAGTAGTTTAGTTAGATGTAGAGAGAAATATAAGAGTCTTGGAAAGCGCAACGCCGCAAAGAATGAGAAGTCGGTCTTTCGACAATGCCAAAAGAAGTCCCTTAAGAGATAGCGAAGATTCACCCAAGAAAGACGTTAAGAAACGAAAAAGAATAGGATGTGAAAATGATAACACAACCGAACAGGAGAAATACAAAGAAATAACAGGAAAAAACGAGCAAGCAAAGAAGCTGAGGGAAACAACGGAGAAAATAGTGCACTTAATAAAAGTCCTAAAGGATAACGTTGAACAGAACACAAAAAGAGAACTGAAGGAAGCTGTGAGGAAACTTGAAAGCTTGGGTAAAGTGATAGAAGGGGCGGAAATGAAAGAATACATAAAGAGTGGAGAAACTGTGAAACAGGTTAAAAGAAGTAAGGAAACGAACACCCAGGGAACCCAAACTGAAACCATAGAGGAGATTAAAAGACTGGAGAAAGAATTGCAAGATGAACAACTAGAGAAGGCGATCAGGTACGAAGACTGGAAAGAATTAGAGCCAAAAATATGGAAAGAACAACAGTTCAAACGAACAAAAATAATAGAGGGAAACCCGATGTGGCACCAGCCGCCCGATGCAAAAACGAAAGTCGTGATGACTGAACTGGAAGATAGAGAGATGAACAGGGGGATACAACAACGATACAAAAAGAAATACCCGGTGATCTCTGAGTTAAACGGTGTATACGGGGAGATAGAAATGCTGACTAAAACAAAAATAAATCATGAGGAAAGAAACAGTAGTGAAAAAATAATCAAAATCGAAGTGATGGAAGGGGAAAAGGGAATCTGGGAAACACTACAGATTCTAAAGGAAAAGACAACACAAGAAACTGGCCTTGCTATACATCACCTAAAAAATTTATCCTTGAGTGAATTTAGAAAAATGATAGAAATTATATTTAAAAACACGAGTATAAATATCGATATATGTACAACCACAGCTAAAAAAGAAGAAAACAAACAAGGAGCAATTGAAAAACAAAACCGAGATATGAAACAGAGAATATCTTACGCGCTGGTGGTGGAAACGCAAGGTAAGAAATACGAAGAGGTGGTAAGGGATATCAAGGAGCAGATGAGAGGAAGGGCGGAAACAGAAAAGATAGAAGGGATAAGGAAGACAAGGGACGGAAAGGTTCTGGTGGTAACACAAAAAGACAGAGACGCTATGGAGAATATCGAGAAAATCCTGAGCAGAGAACAAGGGCAAAAAGTTAGCTCTAGAGGGCTCGTAGAGAAAAAGAAAAATGTCTTCCTTAATTTCAAGGGAATGGAAGTGACGACGACCAGAGAGGAGATACTAGATGCAGTGAAAGGGAAAATTGAAGCAACCGAGGCAGAAGACTGTAAGGTAGGAAATCTCAGACCATATGCACAAGGCATGCAGGCGGTAACCTTGGAAGTAGGACAAAAGACCGCAGAAATTATGATGAAAGAGGGTAAAATTAGAATAGGGCTCGCCCTATGTCAAATAGAAAAAAGGGAAAAAATCATGAAGTGCCTTAGATGCTGGTCGCCATCGCATTTGGTTAAAGAGTGCACTGGTGATGATAGAAGTAACTGGTGTTATAACTGCGGCGGACAAGATCACCAGGCCAGAGATTGCAAAAATGAGCGGAAATGCCCCGACTGTAAAACAGTGGGGCACAGTGCAAGCACCGGAAGATGTCCCATATACAGGAGAAAGATGATGGATCAAAAAGAAAAGAGAAGGGGAAGTATAAAGAGAAGGGAAGAGCATGAAAGAAGGAAAGACAATAAAGAAGATGAAACCAAAATAGGAGAGTCACAAGAAAACGAAGGACGCACGACGGACAATGAAACGGAAATCCAGAACATCATAGAGGAAGGCATACAAAAACAAGATACCTTTGTAATAGTCGCCAAGAAAAAAAAGGGAAAGAAGAACAGTGAAGGAGCTATAAATAGAACTCCAGAGACCTCCCCTGATGGTCCGTCTAAGGATTAAAATAAAAATGCCCTGCCAAATTAAAATAATGCAAGTGAACACCAACAGAAGTGCAGAGGCAATGAACATAGTGGAAAGGAACATTGCAAAGAAAGAAATTGACGTGGTTATTGTATCCGAACCGAACAAAAGGAAGATTGAAACGGGTAAATGGTTAAAAAATGGGGACATGAGTGTGGCAATTAAAATAACTAATCTAGATATTAGGGCGAATAGCTGGGAGGAAGGCAGTGGTTTTGTAGCAATTAAAACAAAAATAGGGACTATAGTCGGATGTTACTTAACACCAAACAATACCATAGAATTCTTCAAAGAACAACTAGAAGAGATTAGTCAGGTAATCGATAGAAGAGACGAGCAGGAGATTATTGTTGCAGGAGATTTTAACGCCAAGTCCGCTGCCTGGGGTTCCAACAGAGAAGATAGGAGAGGAACGATCCTATGTGAGTGGATGTCCGAAAAGGGATTAATAGTGGCGAATAAAGGTAATAGACCAACATGGAGAAGAGGGAAACAAGAAGCCCATATAGATATAACGATGTGTAACGAAAAACTGATAAGAAGCATAAAGAACTGGATTGTAGAAGACGAAGAAAATCTGAGTGATCACCTTAATATCTTGTTTAGTCTCGAAATGGGAGAGGGGATCAGAGGAAAAGACAGCGGGGATAGACGATGGAAGAGAAGGGAGGAACTGGTGGAGAGATACCAAGAGGGAATTCAAGATAAGCTACAAGCAATAGAATTACTTACGCCGGAACTGTTGACATCAATAACTACCAAGACTTGCGATGAAATTTATGACAAGAAGAGAAGGGCAGGACTAAGACGAGGTAATTTATACTGGTGGAATGATGTAGTCAAGGAAGCCAAGGAGAGGACAGACAAATATGGACGTACCTTAACCAGAGCGAATGCAAAAGTAAACAACGAACCGGAAAAACTTAACGCACATAGACAGTACGAGGAAGCAAAAAAAAACGCTTAGAAAAGAAATTAAAAACGCTAAAAAAGAGGCCTGGAAAAAACTGTGCGACGAGCTACAGACAAATATATGGGGGGACGCATACGTTATAGCAATGAAAAAGACGAAAAATATTGCTAAAATATCATTTGACCAGAAACAAGTTGAGACACTAATAAGAGAACTGTTCCCAGAGGGAAAAGAGACAATAGTGGAGCTAGAGGATATAGGAAACGAACCTGAGAGCCGAGAGTTCACAGAAGAGGAAATAAAAAACCTCACTAATAAGTTAAAAAACGGGAAAGCTCCCGGCCCGGACAAGATCACACCAGAAATTGTCAAGGACACTGTAGGTGTAGGGGTCCAAAAGATAACAAAAATGTATGACTACCTCATAAAAAATAATATATTTCCTAACGTCTGGAAAACCGGTAGATTGGTCCTAATTGAAAAACTGGCAGCAAATAAATACAGACCTCTATGTCTGCTAAACTGCTACGGGAAACTGTACGAAGCCATCTTGAAGAATAGACTAGAGGAAGAGCTAGATGAAAGAGGAGGCCTATCAAAATCCCAATATGGTTTCCTAAAGGGAAGATCTACGGTAAGTGCCATAGAAGAAGTCGTAGGAGAGGCTAGACGACTAGAAAAGTATAGACGCGGAAAGAAAAAGAAATGTCTGTTGGTTACGATGGACGTAAGGAACGCATTTGGATCAGCACCGTGGGAAAAGATTATCGAGGCGCTGCAAAAGAAGAAACTCTCAAAAAATCTAGTGAATATTATTAGAAACTATCTTAGTGAAAGATTTATCGAATATGACGAAGCTACATACCAGATCAGTAGAGGAGTTCCACAGGGGTCCATCTTGGGGCCGACCCTCTGGAATGTGTTTTTCGACCAGCTCCTGGAACAAGAACAGGAAAGGGAAGGAGTCAAGTTGGTGGCGTACGCGGACGCGGATGGGAGATCGAGGATCTAGAACAGACGGCTCAGGCAACCGTAAACAGGCTAGCCCATAAAATGGAAGAGATGGGCCTGGATATCGTCCCGGAAAAGACAGAGGCAGTACTGTTAAAAAGTAGAAAAAGCGGAAAGAAAGCTAGAATAAACATAAAAGGACACATAGTGGAATCAAAAAGATCCATAAAATATCTGGGGGTTATGATAGGAAAAGGCCTAAAATGGGGCGAACATGTAGAATATGTCACAAACAAGACGCAGAAAACCGTAAGTGCCATGAATAGAATAATGGGCTCCACCTTTGGGCCAAGGGCAGACAAGAGAAAGATGATAGGATCTGTGATCTATTCTCAAGTTCTGTACGGCTGCGCGGCTTGGAATGAGGCATTCAAAATTAAAAAACCCGTGGTAAGGCTCACCAGAATCCAGAGAAGAGTCCTGATCAGAGTAACCAGCTCGTACCGTACGGTATCAACTGAAGAATTATTAGTATTAGGAGACACGCCACCAATAGACCTAATGGCCAAAAAGAGAAAAGCGGCAATGGAAGATTCTCATAACAAGAACGAGACAAACCAACTAGTCATAGGCGAATGGCAGAACAGATGGGCAGAAGACACTGGCAAAGCTAGATGGACAAAAAGACTAATACCAACCATAACGCCATGGCTAACAAGAAGATGGGGAGAGATGAACTACTTCCTAAGCCAGTTTATGAGTGGTCGCGGGTGTTTCAAGGCGTACCTCTACACACACAAGAGAGCTGACAATGACCACTGTATGTACTGTGATACGGCGGACGATGCAGAGCATACCTTCGAGTGCGAGAGATGGAGAGAGATAAGGCAAGAAACAAGTAGAAAACTAAAAAAAAACCTAATAACGCCGGAGAACTGCGTAGACATCATGCTGCAGAGCGAAGACAATTGGAAAATCATGGAAAGTTTTGTGAGAGAAGTTCTTGGCACAAAGGAAAGAGAAGAAAAAGAAGCACAAAACACACGAAGAAGAGAAGAGGGAGGCTGATCACAGCATCGTAGAGTTAGCCAAGAATAGAAGAGGAGAGGGGGGGTTCTCTAAGAGCTCCCCCCTTCCAGGTACGTTGTTGGTATGAAATATAACTCAAAAAGTAATCGGTATTTTCTGATTTGTTTCCGTTCAACTGGAGGGAGCATTGATGGAGTTTCCAGGGTCCTGTTCAAGAATAGAAGAGGAGAGGGGGGTTCTCTATGAGCCCCCCCTTCCGGGTATGCTGTTGGTATGAAATAAAATTCTAAAAGTAATCGATGTGCTATGATTTGTTTTCGGTCAACTGGAGGAAGCATGGATGGAGTTTCCAGGTTCCATCAGATCCCATCTCTTGTCAGAGAGACTAAACATAAAACAGGAGAGGCAATAGGTTAAATCAGGAAGCGGTAGGATTTAAGGAGAGAACAGAGGAGAGCATAAAGGGAGGTCCGGTACAGATTAGGATAGAGGCGAAATACGAAATATAATCTCCGAAGCAACGCCACCCGGCGGATACGGGCTTAGCGAACCCGAGGCCGCCTGAGCTCGAGGAGCATACCTCCTTAAAAAACTGGGGTCTGGCTGGCCCGGCCGGTAGCACCCCACAAGGGCACCCGCCTGGGTTTACAGGTGGAGGAGCAGACCTCCTTAAAAAAGCTGGGGTCGCGTGGTCCCGGGCGACAATAACCCACGAAATGCCCCTGACTGGGGTTACAGGGAGCACGGGATTAAGTGTTGAGTGTCTCAATGTATGGTGAGGTGTTAAAGTGAAGTCCTTTGTAAGTGTATACCTGCCGGTAGGTCGAAAACGGAGCACAAGCTAGGCGCTTTGACAACTGCGTATATGGTTTAATGGAACGCAAAGAAATAGCCTCGGAAAATGACCGGGAGGAGGGTAAGGTCGACCCCCCGGCGACTGACAGACCTGTAAGACGATCGAGCGACAGTACACCTGAGACTACTGAACTCAGGAGTAAAGATGATAGAGCTCTGCCCCAAAGATGGGATACAGAGGAGAACCGAGATGGGAAGAGGAAACAGAGAGATAGTCTAGAGAGGGAGATGAAGAGAACCCGGGATGAAACCCTAAAGGAGCAAAAGATAGAAAAAGAAATACTTGCTGAACGAGAAGGTGGCAGGGAAGACGGAGCGGAAAGGAGGCTGTCATTAGACAGGGAATTGAAGGCTGCTGAAAGGTTTAAATGGGGGGGAAAGAAAAAATCCGTTAAAAATACGATAGATGATCTAGTAAAGAAAATGGGGGATATGGCTGGATTAATATAGCAAAATACGGCGGTACCCCTAAAAAATAGCATTAAGGAAATGCAGAGCGCGATAAAGAGTTTTCGAAAGATCTATGAGAAAGAGGAAATGGAGACGAAGGAAAAAATTGAATTACTGCATACGCAGTTTGATAAAATGAAAAGTAATATAGATATGAGAATAGAGGAAGGAAAAAGAAGGTATAAAGGAAGGGAAATGGGAACACAGACGGAGACCCAAACGGAAATGGAAGAACAAAGGAAGAAAAGAGAGAAAGAAAAAAGCAACAATCTAATAAAGAATGCAATAACTTATGAAGATCTTAAGAAGGTAGAATCGATGATATGGGAAACACAGCATTATAAACGTACAAGAGTGATAGAGGGGAACCCAATATGGCAACAACCAACCGAGAGAAAGACCAAAGTAGTAATGGTGGAGAGGGAAGAAAAAGACATGAATAAACGGATACAACAACACTATAAAAGAATATACCCGGTGTTGTCTGAAATAACTGAAGCATATGGAGAGATAGAAATGGTAACAAGAACAAAAATAAAAGGTGAAGAGAGAGAAAGAAAAGTAAAGATAATAAAGATGGAAGTAATGGAAGGTGAGAGAGGGGTATGGGATACTATAAAACTTCTAAAAGATAGGGCGTCACAAGGAAAAGGTCTAGCATTACATCATGTAAAAGATTGCTCCCTGGATGGACTGAGAAAAATGGTGGAAGTAATATTTAGAGATACGAATACAGAGATAGACATATATACAACGACGGCTAAACGAGAGGAAGATCAAAAGGGAAAACAAGATGAAACTACGACAGGACAAAGGAAAACCTATGCGCTGATTGTAGAAAACCAGGGTAAAACATATCCGGAAGTGGTAAGAGGAATCAAAGAGCAGATGAAAGGGAAAAAGGAGGCGGAAAAGATAGAAGGAATAAGGCAAACAAGAGATGGAAAAGTATTGGTGGTGACAAAAAGGGACAAAGATGCTGCTGAAAAGATAGAAGAGATATTAAGCAGAGAAAAGGGACAAAAGGTAGATTCCAGAGGGCTAAACCAAAAGAAGACGGACCTGTTCATATGTATAAAAGGAATGGAAGTGACCACACAGAGAGAAGACATTGTGGAAGCAATAAACAAAAAGCTTGGAACAATGGACGAAGAGGAGTGCAAAATAGGACAATTAAGACCATATGCAAAAAGCATGCAAGCAGTGACTATACGAATTAATAAAGAGAAAGCAAAAAACTTGATAGAAGAGAAAAAGATAAGGATAGGACTAGTCACATGCCAGATCGAAGAGAGAAAAGAAATTAAAAAATGTATCTTATGCTGGTCACCATTACACCTGGCAAAAGACTGTACGAATGAGGACAGAAGGGGAAAGTGTTATAACTGTGGTGGAGAGGGACACCAGACGAAAGAGTGTAAATCTGAAGAAAAGTGTCCAGACTGTAAGATCGTAGGACACAGAGCCGCAACGGGAAAATGTCCACTATATCAGAGGCTTTTAAAAGAAGTTAGGGACGAAGAAAGAGACAGAGGAATATGGAGAAAAAGAGAAAACGAAGAGAGGGGAAGAGACAGGGAAATAGAAAAAAGTAAAGTAGAAAAAAGAAAAATAGTTCCGAAAAGACAAAGCGAAAATGAAAAGAAAGATAGAGAGAGGGAAGAAACGACAGAGGGAGATATGACCGAAGTAAAGAGTACGAAAGAGGTGGAAGACGGAGCATGGACAGAACAGCGAAAAGGAAAGAAAAAGAAAGGAAAAGCGAAAGA